GGGACCAGTGTGTTTGGGTGTCCAACATATGACCTCTGAATGGGTTTTAAGGACCAGGTGCACAGCCCTTTGGGAAGCCAACCACCTTTAAGGTCTCTCAACCCGATCTCCAAAAATGAATGACTCCAAAATGAGGAGTGACTGTTGGAAACCTTCACAGATGCAATATACTATTTTAATGGCCCCATTTTCAAAGGAGCCTGAGTCCAGCCTGTAAAATGAAGCCCACAGCTTTTCCTCTCCAATATTTGTGCAAGCATGCCCACATCAGGTAGATGTCTCACTACTCTAGGTATGCAGATAATGCAGTTAGCCATTTTGGGTGGAAGCACGGAGGATGATTTGCTTGAAACTGGAGAGAGAATGGTAAACTGAATAATGAAACAGAACTGACAATAAATCCTCACTGGGACGTTCTAATATAAAGTCAACAGGCTGGAGGAGAAGGGAAGGAGAAAAGCTGCCATCTTTTCTCGGGTGAATCCTCAGGAAGCGTTAGAAATTTTAACAGAAATGGACGCTGGCTTGCCCACCTGAAAGCACCAGCTGGGGCAGACAGATTCACATGAATTCTGGAATTCCCATCTTAGCTTCCCCCACCTCATTTGAAAAACTGTCTTTAACAAACACCCCTGAAGAACTCTTGCCTTCCTCTCTCTCTTCTGCCTCCCTGCTCTCAGTGCCAAGGCCATGCCAGCAGAGAGATGGCTAGAATTACTCACTTTGGTCCACACCGCCATCTAACGCTCAGCTTGTAATTCACTGCTAGAGTCAAAGGAACGTAAGAACATGAGAACAGCCATACTGGGTCAGCCCAAAGGTCCATCCAGCCCAGTATCCTGTCTGCCAACAGTGGCCAATACCAGATGCCCCAGAGGGAGGGAACACAACAGGTAATTCTCACGTGATCCCTCCCGTCACGCATCTCCAGAGAAACAGAGGTTAGGGACACCGTTCCTTTGCATCCTGGCTAATAGCCATTGATGGACCTAACCTCCACGAATCTATCTAGCTCTTTTTGAACCCTGTTAAAGTCCTAGTCTTCACGACATCCTCCAGCAAATAGTTCCACAGGTTGACTGTGCGCTGAGTGAAGAAAAACTTCCTTTTCTTTGTTTTAAACCTGCTGTCTATTAATTTCATTTGGTGACCCCTACTTCTTATATTGTGGGAATAAGCAAATAACTTTTCCTTATTCACTTTTTCCACACCAGTCATGATTTTATAGACCTCTATCATATCCCCCGCTTAGTCTCCTCTTTTCAAAGCTGAAAAGTCCAAGTCCTTTTAATCCTCTTCATATGGGACCTGTTCCAAACCCCTAATCATGTTTGTTGTCCTTTTCTGAACCTTTTCCAATGCCAATGTATTTTTTTTGAGATGAGGTGACAACATCTGTATGCAGTATTCAAGATGTGGGTCTACCATGGTTTTATATAGAGGCAATAACATATTTTCTGTCTTATTCTCTCTCTCTTTTTAAATGATTCCTAACATTCTGTTTACTTTTTTGACTGCCATTGAACACAGGGGATATGTCTACACTACAGAGTTTTGTCAGAAAAACGGCTGTTTTTCTGACAAAACCTGTTACATCCATACAGCAATCATGATCTTACAAGAGTAAATTGAAAGAACAGAGGGGTTTTTCTGGAGTTGGTAACCCTTATTCTACGAGGAAGAAGTGGTCTTTCGGAAAAAGGCGTGTGTGGATGGGAAAGAGAGAGTTCTCTCGAAAGAAGAGGAAAAACCACAGGTGTCCTGGTGGCCACTCTGTCCATAGTAATCAGAGCTTAAATGCGAGATAGCGTCCATTCAGTGTGGATGCTATCTTTTTAAAAAGGAGATCGCTTTTTCGATGTGCTTCTCTGTGTGGACGCTCTCTTTCGGAAGTAGTTTTTTCAGAAGCTCTCTTCCAAAAAAAGGGTCTTCCAAAAGAAGCCTGCAATCTAGACAGCCTGAGTGGATGTTTTCTGAGAACTATCCACAATGACTCAAAGATCTCTCTCTTGAGTAGTTGTAGCCAAATTAGTCCCCATCATAATGTATGTATAGTTGGGATTATTTTTTCCAATGTGCATTACTTTACATTTATCAACATTAAATGTCATTTGCCATTTTGTTGCCCAATCACTTAGTTTGGCAAGATCTTTTTGAAGCTCTTCACAGTCTGCTTTGGTCTTTGATCTTGCCTTGATCCTGCTGAGTGGTAGAGGTGCTGCAGGCTTACCTCACAGTGATAACATTCCACGTGGTAATCTCTGTCCATTGATACCACTCGAATGGTCTCCTCAGAGCCCTGGTTTGGAAAATGAGAGAAAAACCAGACCAGGAATGTAAGTGACATTTTGTCAATTTGCTGTGCAGAGTACGAGCAATGCTGCATTTTCACTGTGTGGGGATCTCTCTTTTCTTCATTCATCTACTAGAACGAGCAGATGGCACTGGCACTGGCAAGCATCATGTGTCCTCACTCTGTGAAATCCTGTACCTGTTGCTTCCTGTTTGTACAATACCCTTATTCTGGTAAGGTGGGTATCCTGGATCTCTAAGAGCCCCTTGTTTAGACATCGGCTGTAGATGCCCAGCCCCTTTTCAAGTCAGCGGCAGCTATGTAGGTCTATTCAAAGACCCGAATATGGCACAGGATTCATAAGTTACTAGGACTCTCCCTGAAAGTGAACCATTTAGGATTTGGAATAAATGCCCACCTAACACTACTATTTATTAAGCTGTTTGGGCTTGACTTTCCACTAACAGTTGCACACACACTACTAGCATGTGTGCCCACCAGCTAGAGATTTGCATATTCAGATGGCACAGACTCATACTCATAGACTTTAAGGTCAGAAGGGACTATTATGATCATCTAGTCTGACCCCCTGCACAGTGCAGGCCACAGAATCTCGCCCACCCCTCTTAGAATAATCCTCTCACCTATGTCTCAGATATTGAAGCCTTCAAATACTTTGAAGGCCCCAACATGCAGAGAGTCCTTCAGCTGTGATCTGTGCCCAATGCTACAGAGGAAGGCGAAAAACCTCCAGGGCCTCTGCCAATCTACCCTGGAGGAAAATTCCTTCCTGACCCCAAATATGGCGATCAGCTAAACCCTGAGCATGTGGGCAAGACTCACCAGCCAGATACCCAGAAAGTTCTCTATAATGAATGGTCAATTAGTTACCAAGATCATGTTATTTCATCCAACCATCCCCTTATCATAGAATCATAGAACTGGAAGAGACCTCAGAAGGTTGTCAAGTCCAGCCCTCCGCTCTAGGCAGGACCAATCCCATCTAAATCAACCCGGCCAGGGCTTTGTCAAGCCGAGACTTAAACACCTCTAGGGATGGAGACTCCACTACTTCCCTAGGTAACCCATTCCAATGCTTCACTACCCTCCTAGTAAAATAGTTTTTCCTAATATCCAATCTGGACCTCTCCCACCACAACTTGAGACCATTGCTCCTTGTTCTGCCATCTGTCACTACTGAGAACAGCCTCTCTCCATCCTCTTTGGAACCTCCCTTCAGGAAGTTGAAGGCTGCTATCAAGTCCCCCCTCACTCTTCGCTTCTGCAGACTAAACAGACCCAAGTCCCTCAGCCTCTCCTCATAAGTCACATGCTCCAGACCCCTAATCATTTTGGTTGCCCTCTGCTGGACCCTCTCCAATGCGTCCGCATCCTTTTTGTAGTGAGGGGCCCAGAACTGGACACAGTACTCCAGATGTGGCCTCACCAAAGCCGAATAAAGGGGAATAATGACATCTCTGGATCTGCTGGCAATGCTCCTCTTAATGCATCCTATTAGCTGTGAGTGGGGGCAATACCCTGGCTCATGGTGGCACATGCATTAGTGCACGTAAGAAGCATATGTGCATTCATGACTTAAACCCAGACCCTGTAAAGCAGCACGTACGTCACAGGCAACTTCACTGACTCCTTTTTTGAGTCACTGAGACTGGATCTTGTTTAAAATTTTGCCTTGAATTGTTTCCAGGTCCAGGTGTGCTTAGAACATCAGATGTGACGCAGGCTGTATCAGAGAGGAGCGGCAGGCAAGTCATTACCTGACCTGCCAGACGTGAACTAACACATACGCACTCCTTGGGAAAGAGCATATAATGTACTTAAAAGAGGTTTGCTGCAAGTCTTGTTAACTGCCAGCTAAGTGAGAGGAGGAGGTAGAATGGGCCAAGCTTTTAGGGAAAGGATTATTCTGTAACATGCAAAATACTGGGAAGTAGATGAGAATAAAGAGTGTGTGTAATCTGGGCATGCTATCACAGGCTCCTCTTTAGAAACATTTCAAGTATGAGAGGTGCCAGGGAGGCTGTGGAATCTCCATCACTGGGGATATTTAAGAGCAGGTTGGACAGAAATCTATCAGGGATGATATAGGCAGTGCTTGGTCCTGCCATGAGGGCAGGTGACTGGACTTGATGATCTGTCGAGGTCCCTTCCAGTTCTAATATTTTATGATTCTATGATCTCACTGAAGCAGTATGGGCAAGATTGTGGCTTATACCTTCATCCCTGATGTGCACTGAAAGTAGATTAGAAATGTAGTATGTCACATTCCCCTTTGGGCATGGCGGATACAGACACAATAGCTTACAGGATACAGGCACAATGGCTTATAGGATACACATCATGTGGCCAGAACAATAGTCTGGAAATATGGAATGTGCACTAGAAAGTCTGTGTGTAGAGGGGAGAATTGTCAGGCCCTTGACTATAACCTTGATCTGACTAGTCACTGCCCCTTGGAAGAGAGAGTGCTGCTGATTCTGGGCCATTTTCACGTCACTATCAGCAGAGTATAAATTAATGTCAGACACAGACAGGAGAATAACAAGGTATATGGGTGAACAGATCTTCTCTTCATGTACAATGTCTTTCTGTGCCAAAGTGCCACTTCCAGCTAAGATAAATAGGTAAGTAGGGAATTCCAAAGTATTCAACCATTTGGTCAAAGACAATTTAAAGAAATCTGAACTTGGGCTTTGCTCAGTTCAGTTCTACTGTTATTGGCTTGAGTTTGCTACCTATTTTCATGTTGCATAGTATGCTCCTGCAATCAATAGGACTATTCACAGAGTAAGATGCTACTCGATATAGGAAAGTGGGATCAAATAAGGCCCTGGCCTATACAATTCATACATACGATGGGTTTGAAACACCAGGGCTGCGTCTAGACTGGCATGATCTTCCACAAATGCTTTTAACGGAAAAGTTTTTCCGTTAAAAGCATTTGTGGAAAAGAGCGTCTAGATCGGCATGGACGCTTTTGCTGTGCCAATCTAGACGCGGTTTTGCGCAAGAAAGCCCGATCGCCATTTTCGCCATCGGGGCTTTTTTGCACAAAACAGTTTTTAGCTGTCTACACTGACCCTCTTGCGCAAATACATTTGCGCAAGAGGGCTTTTTCCAGAACGGGAGCAGCATAGTATTTGCGCAAGAACACTGACAATCTTACAGTAGATCATCAGTGTTCTTGCACAAATTCAAGCGGCCAGTGTAGACAGCTGGCAAGTTTTTCCGGAAAAGCACCTGCTTTTGTGGAAAAACTTGCCAGTCTAGACGAAGCCCAACTGCTTTCAAGGAGTTACAGCTGCAATGTACTGAACATCCCCAATTCCCATGGATTTCCATGGAGTTTGGGGAACCAAGGACTTCTTGGAAGGTAGCCTGAAGAATTATCCGGCATGTAACAGCTGGCTGGGAGACCTAAAACAAATTACTTGTGTGTGCTTAACTTTGGAAAAGAAGGCCCTTATTAAGTAAACAGCACATGTTAGTGGGCTTATTGAAAATATGTCAAGTCCCAGAACTCCTCGCTTCGCATGGTTTGAGAAGACATTTTTCCTACAGTTAATTTGCATCATTACAGCTCTGTGTAGCAGGCTGAAACTGATACAAAGTCTGTGATATCCATCACATAAACAGTAATCATAATCCATCCTGAAAATCAATTTCATGTTCAGCCCCTATTAGTGCTGCTTGTCCCTCTCTTCCTCACAAGGTTGAATAGGTTTGGTTCTGGATTTCTGGTTTCTATTCACCGGAGACAATCCCAAAGTTTGGTGGGGTTTGTAACCAGCGTTTTGCTTCAGATCCATCTCTAATACGCAGTTCCTCAGCTCTGCCTCTAACATGGTAGCCAGCTGTGTGAAGCACTTTCATCTGTGTCAATGTTACATGGCTGAAGCCACGTGCTCTTTGAACAGGGTAAATGTTACCATCAATTTCACTCCCCTATTTGGAGCCTGGGTATCTTTTAACAGCTCACATCAGATTTAGCAAAGCGCACTTCTTGAATGAATGGAGAGTTGAGAGATTCTAAAAATAAACAGTCCATTCTCAGTTCTCTAGTCGGGGCTTTGAATTAAATCAGCTAGACAGCAACATTAGTTAATACCTCTGAAGTACCCTTGATATATAAAGTGGTCTGGTGCATAGTTGCTATACTAGAATGATTACAACCAGGGGCAGATGACTGTTTTGCGGGGCCCCCCCTTTGCCACGGCGCATGCGCCGTGACGCCTTGCGCATGCGCAGTGGCACCATGGCACATGCGTGGGGCTTTTTTAAGTGTGGGGCCCGAGGCGGCCGCCCCGTTCGCCCTGCCCTATATCCGACCCTGATTACAACCATTGGAACTGAATAAGAATTGTATTATTGCTGAGCTGAGTTTAATTTTGCATTAGATAAGCAGTTCATTCTAGGTTGAAGGAAGGCTCTTGAATAGCCAACGTGTTTATTTCTTACTGGGTCTGAACAGATCTTTGAACAATGTCCATACGTGCGCATGCGCAAGCGCACGCACACACACATACACACACACACTTCATACCTGTGCTGGTAGAATTGGCTGGTTACAGGAAGCACATTTTGGTGCAAAAACACTAAGATTCAAGAAGAGAAAATTTTCAAATTAGATTTAAAAAACTTAGAACCTTGAAAGCATTTCAACCAGAGCTTCTTTTTTAGAGATGGGCTTTAACTGCAATATATGGTTTAGATCAGGAATTC